GATTCATCAGGTAAAAACTTTGGCACTAAAAATCAGCAAGAACATATTAAACATTGTGCTGTAGTCTTGCCAAAGTCACAGTTGAAAATCCCGCAATGCTTGAAACGAAAAATTCAACTGTCTCCTCAAGAATTAATGATGTTGAAGCATAGACAGATCTTTTTCTGTGTTGATGGTTACCACTCATTCAAATCTGTTGAAAATAAAGGGCTTCTCAATTTGATGCAGAGCTGTGTTGAGTTAGGTGCCAAATATGGAAAGTTTGATGTTTCTGACGTTGTTGTGGGAAAATATTAGTAACATTTAATTTTTAATTAATTTTCATGTTATTTTATTACACTTGCAGTGTAATTACTTCACCAGTGTGTTTTATTACACATATGATCTTGTATTTTTGAGTTCTGCTTTTTAAATATCATTTGTAAAAATTTGCCTGTTTGGTAAAATTGCGACTCGTGCAGATGGGTCGTGGGTTGGGTCGGGTCGGGTTGGGTTGAAAAGTTGCATTTTCAGGCGGGTTGGGTTGGGATGGGTTGAGTTAAGTGATGGGTTGGGTTGGGTTGGGTCAGTAAAAATGGACCCATGTCCACCTCTGCGCACTCAGGCTATATACCGTAAAATTCTGATAGAGAGGATGATTTGAGAACTGTTCCACAATGACCTTCATCTGGATCATCATCACTCTCCATGTATAGTGGCTCTCTTCCTTCTTCATGTACATCATCAGATTGAGAGCTCTGGCCAGGCTGACGTGGTTCGTGCTGCAGTATAACAGATGTTTGTTTGGTAGAGTTGAATAAATTAAAAATTATATCTTGAGAGAATTCAAACAAAATTTTAAAAAATTATGATGCCAACCTAACTAAAGAAAATATATCATATATAATGCTGCCTCTGTCGATGTCGCTGAAAACCTAATAAAAATTGGATTGCTTAGATGATGATGATGTCATCATCATGCTAATCATCATCACCATTACGATGATGTTGACAATGATGATCGCAACAACAAATAATAATTATTATTATTTAAATAATAATAATGATAGCTATGGTTACTCTGAAACAAAACACCAATTAACATCGTGGAAGAAAAAACTGAAATATCATCATCTTTATCCTCATTGTCATCACTGTATACGCTCCTACACATCATTATCATCATCATCATCATCATAATCATCATCCTCATCATCTTTAAAAAAAACAAAAACCAACGGAATGGTTAAGTTTTAGCTGCTTAATTATGTCCAACCATCCCTTGTCACCGTAATGAACTCTGTAAAATCCTATCAAAAAATAACAATGCCTAATGAATTTCAACTAACTAAATAAAAGATTTATCAAACTATTTGTTTCTAATCATTCAACCAATCAACAAAAGTATTTATATAGAGCAATTTCAAAAATGCAAGAGGACATCATAGGCAACAAATCATTAGGCCTCTACCATTCAATGAATAACAAATCTTGAAATGAATGGTGAGAGGAACTAATTTTGACGCATTTTTACATTGCCCACAAAAAATGTTTCTATCGAAATAAAAACCAATAAAAAATAATTTTTATAGAAGATTTTGAATGAATGAACGACGGACGAACAATCGAATGAATGAATGAGCAAACGGACGAATGAACAAACGAACGAACAAACAAACGAACGAATGAATAAATGAAAAATGAAAATAATAATAAAGGATGAATAAGCTTCCCCAGTAGATCCATCAAAGTCACTATCATCAGTTTATCATTACGATCGTTTTAGTCATCAATCATAACATTCACTCATTCATTTATCATCAACATTGTAATCATCTTATATTCGTCGTCGTCGTCGTCTTCATCATTATTTGCCTGCCATATCAACGTTTGCTTTTAACCAGGTGACATTAAGTGGCAGTCTGAAGTTCTCTAGATGAATGAATGAATGAGTGAATGAGTGAGTGAGTGAGTGAGTGAGCGAGTGAATGAATGAATTAATTAATTAATTAATTAATTGGAAGTTAATTAATTAATTAACGAACAACTTGTCACTTATTATTACAAAATCCAACCACTTCTTAGGCCTACTTGTTTTTCCATTCAAAATGACGGTTGAGATGTCGGTTGGATTGTTACTAGTTGCGTAGGTTAAAGGAATGTACCATGTGTAGCTGGCGATTAAATGTTAAAAATTGAAATGAATAACAAGTTTAGTAATTTTATTCTTTTTTATTATTAAATAATTTGATTTAAGACATTCTCATTCAAAATTACTAACTTTTCCTATTTTGAACTATAACCAGAACGATAATAAAAACTTCGAACGAAAATCTCATTTAGATTTTAAAAATTATTTATTTCATTTGCGTTTTATTCAACATTTCCAACTTGAACTTTGAACTTGGCACTTGGAAATCTTTCAATTTTGAATGATCGATGACGACGAATCTCTCCTGACGACAGGTCACGTGACGTCCATCCCTGACGATGGTGACCAGGGGCAGACCCATTTGAAGTGTCCACGTCTCCATCATTTTTTCCACATTGATTTCTTCTGTGCTGGGCAGCTTCATTTTGTAGGAACAAAATGATAAAACAAGAATATCACAACTTTAATATATATCATACATTCAGAGTTGCCATCAAGCTTTGTAAGATTGCATGTATGATGATCTGTTAGTATGTGTGATTGCCTGTGTGTATGTGTGTGTGGTGTGTGTGGGGTGTAAGTGTGTGTGTGTGTGGTGTGTGTGTGTGTGGTGTGCGTGTGAATAAATTTGCAGATAAGAAGTTCTCCAACCTTTTTTGGAAATGCATGCCACAAATCTTTGCTGTTGGCATTGCCGTACTGGTGTTTGGTGAGATAATTTTTGAGGGCTTTGTTGAAAACATCGGAGCCAACCACACTCTCCAGCATTCGAATCAACGCCGCTCCCTATTTGAGACATCGAATGTTTTTCTTTACAAAAATTTAGTTTAACTAAATTTTTTTATCTCCCTTCAATCAGTCTTTTAATCGAAATAACTAATTTTCACATCGTCTCAAAAAATTATCCAATGTTTTCACACTTCAGTCATCCTCATTTTTCCCAGTCAAAATAATGTCTTTTTTAATGCTAAAATGAGTGTCTTAATCTTTATTTTATTTTTTAATTTAAAAAAATGTTAATTATAATAAATTAACAAAGCAAACGTGCTAAGAAATATAATTTTAATAATCGATCATACAATTTTTTTAGTTAGTTGATCTGGGTCGAGATAGATCTTAATTTATTTTTTCACTAAAATTAGCCATGAGTTCATGCTACAAAAGCAGTTGACCAACTTTATGGTAGGAAATTCCGTCGGGCTGGTCACTGGAGCGATCACTGGGTGGGAGGAGTCGAATGAATCTTCGAACATTGCTGTCAACGTAAGATCGAAGGTGAATGCTTCCATCTGAATGACATTTGTTAAACTAAAAAAATCGAAATGAAACACATGCTTTACTATATTTAATTCAAAATTGCAAAATAAACGCAATAATAATCATAATTTAACTTGAAATTATAAAATTCAAAATTGACAACTATATTTTTAGAAATTCGAATTCAAAAACTAACCAGAGGCCAGTCGGGAAAAATCTGCTTCAAACCAAAGTACAAACCAAAGTACAAGTTTCAACATTCAACCAATGATGAGCCAGCAAACAGGGAAACTAACACCCACCCAATTTTTTCAATGGGTACCTGACTCCATAAAATCCCTCAAAGAAATCCATTAATTTGGTAATTGATTCCAGTGCAAAATTGACGTCGTTTATAGTTGATGGTTGAGAGTACACGGAGATCTGGAGTTGTGCATGAAACTTAACTGAATTTTTTTGTCTCATCGTACGAGAACATTTCATGCATTATTATTTTTAGCAGCTGAAAGCAAAACCATCAAAGATTATCAAGAAAAATAGAAATGACCCTCAAACAAGTTGAATATTTAGGTAAAATTATCTGGGACTGAAAAACTCATCTTGTATAACACTGAACATGTGAATTAATAATTAACGACAGATGTGAGCTTATGGAGGCCTATTTAGCAGCAACGAGCAAACGATAAAAGAGTACAAAATAAAACAAAACTACGGAATCAATCGTTACATCCATCCTACCAACATTAACTCCACTCATGCTCATTTGAGATTTTGACTGAAAGTCGCAGACAACAAAGGCCAGCAAGTAAGTGCTCATCTGGACGGAGGTGTTGAAGATGTCCATTGTTTCACTGCTGGACACTGCCCTCTCTGATATCTAGAAAAATAATTTCATTGGTAAGAATTTTCATTCAGAAGTCGTTAAAACCAGCTACCTTCTCCGTGTTGAACAATGAGATGTAGTCATTTGGTCTGATGATGTAGAACTTGAAGGTCGCCTTCATGGGCGGCTCATCAAAGCATGGAATTGCCGATCGTGCTTCAGTCGGTTGGAAATGCGTGGCAGCTAAATATCTGCAAGATGAAAGTGAGATTAAAGTTAGATTGAATTATGAAGTTAATTAATTGTTTGTTTCATTTTGTTAGTTGTGTGGGGCAAATGTTTTTGTCGTTCAATTTAAAGTTTTTCAAAAACTTTTTTGACAACTGACAAGTGTAAAACTCTCCATTGCAAAATTAAATTGGTGAGTGATAACCATTTTCAAATGATAACAATTGACGCATTTGAACAAATAACAAGACAACGATTGACCTGACGACATTGTCACCGGTTGTGTATGAACTTGAATAAAACCCGAAATTATCATTTCTCAGCACTCCTCTGAAAGAAATTTCAATGATGACGGTAGAGTTTGGTCTGAGGAAGTTGCAAAGTTCGATTTGCAGTTGTTCCAACTTTTCATTAATTCTACTTCTTACTACTACAATTTTTTCTGTCGTGGGTTATGGTAGAGTTTATAACAAATCAATATTGGCATGATATCAACAGGGTTGATTGGATGTCTGAGGTGATTGTAGTGTTAAAGATAACAATGATGATGACGATAGAATTAATTTTAATTATTTGAAATATTTAAAACAAACCTAGAAGGATGATAACGTTAAGCTTATAATGTTATGAATTTTGTAATTTTTAAAACATATTATTATGGACGGATATGGGATGATGAGGAAGAAACAAGCAATAATGAGAAATAACCATCATGAATGTTGATATAATTGATACAAACAAAACAAGTTAAAGCATCGATGATGTTGAGTTTATATACATCGGAAAATTTATGTAATAAAAAAGATATTATTGGCTCTTTTTCCAACAAACCATTTCGGTCTTTATAGCGTACATCAACTCTAGAGATTTTGAGGCCTTTAACGTGCATGACAATGCTATTGGTACATCTACGTACGAAAACTCTGGTTTTGGACGAGCCACGGAAATAAAATTTTGGAAGATTTGGATAAATGATAACTTCATAACTTCGAGGAATTAAATTTGTCGGCAGGCGTATGTTGGTCCAACAAAATTTTTCTTCCTCGCCTGTGACTTCTCTAGCAGAACGGCATAACGTTTTAGTACTGTTGTCATCGCACCCTTGACCAAGGTCAGCAAAATTGCTAAAAGACAACAAATTAGTACGGCGATATTTTCTAATGCCTTCATTTGTGCGCTGTATCGTATTTATTTTTTTTTAATTTAGCAAAACCCCTTCATTCGACTACAAATTAATTTGTATTTAATATACTAATGTTGGAAGAATTTGAACGTGTATTTCAAAACTATTTAAAATCTTCTTGTAAAGAATTAAATAACTTGAAATTTAATACGATTAACTGAACAGTTTTTTCTAAGGGTAAAATGCTAAGTGTTTTTCTTATTTATCTATTATTTCAGACAGAAGTCATTGAACTAAGAAAATTCTCCTACTTTTAAAAAATGCTTAAAAATTATTACCCAACACATTTATCGACCGTTAAATATATTGATATAAAAATCAAACGATTGAACTGACAAAGGTTGAACAAATTTACATTGCGGATAAAAATTATAAAGTCAACATCGCTTTCTTCCCTTAAAATCTTATTACGTTACGGTGAATGATTCGTTCCTCATCACGTGTTGCAGGGCACAGGGCAGTGGCTTATTCGAAATTTAGCAGTGGGTGATTTCCAAATTTCAAAATTCTATAGTATAGTTAATGATTTTTTATAATTCCTGTTTAATTTAAAATTTATTATGATGATGACTTAAACTATTTTACACGGAATCTTCAATATTTTTTTCTTCCAATGTCAGGTAGAGAGATGCACCCTAACACCCCATCTAGATTCGCCACCCCGTTACGAATTATATATATATATATACCGTGCCATGCTGAATTTTAAGCTAAAAAATATGATGGCAAATAAAATGGAAGTACCTGAACAGTTCATTTTGAACGATTCACAAACAGTTAATAATATTTTTTATAAAATGCCTCAGTGTTCGAAATTGGTTAGCAGTATTGCTTGTGGGTAGGTAGACCGAACAGGAACGGAGACGATGGATTTGGTTTACATAATTTTATTTTTAAAAGATTTATGACAGATTACTAAGTTTTAAAATATAAACAACACGTTTAGACGTTTCTATCTCATTTACAAATAACTATGGAAAATAGTGCACAATGAATTGTCTGATAAATCAATAGTAATGTTACTAATAGTGAATAAAATTTAAAAGTTTTTTAATCAAGGGTTCCGCAAAGCAATAAAATGTTATTTTAGTAGAACATAAAATTTAAATGATCAGTTCACTATTTTTGCACATTCTTAATCCAGGTTATCTGGATAGTCAGATGGAATACTGTCCATAAACTTCCAACTCACAAACAGTTAAATACTGATCAGTATCACTAGCAGACTGCACAATAACATACCTGTGTCCGTATGAATAACTCTTGCATAAAGTTATGTACCAGGAATCAGTTTCTGTTACTTTGGGATATTGTCCGCAGAGGTCGTAGGTCCATCTGTTCACAACTGATCCCAAGCTCCTATTCAGTCCAACAATGTACTTAGACATTCTGCCACCTTGAATATTGGGATGTGCTTGCAATAAATTTCTAATACTGTTTTATTGCACGACATGAAAACGCACAAAAATAATGTTATGTTTAACTAATGTAATTAAATTTTTAAAAAATCCACGATAATTAAACAAAAAAAATGTTTAAAAATTTCATTTACAGACTATAATGCCAAAACACAAAATTAAAAACAACTCAAGACCACACAAACTGCTAACCGCAGCATTCAACTCGATTGACCAGCATGACGTAACGAACGAAGTAGACACCCAGCAGGTCAACAACCATCCAGTTTGGAGGAACATCTTTAGCGTGGAAACAACCAGCTGTTAACAACACACCTGACCTATTTCCGTCTACGGCACGTTCCTCTTTGTGGAGTGAATCCGGAAGTAATAATGGACTGGAAGTTGTTGGCTTCTTTAGGGCAAGATTGTTAAACTTTTCTGAGTTGGATCATTCATTTGAAAAAGTTTATTTGATGAAATTGCCGAGTTTGTTAATATAAAACTATCTTTTCAACATTTATTAAACAAATATTTTAAGTTTGAAGTATAAAAACTTGCCTTTCAACAAATTGTTTTCGGCCTGAAAAATGAACAAAATTTGAAAAATATTTCAAATGAAATTAAAATTCTGAACAAAATTGAAATATTTAAATTCAAAATATTTAATTTTAACGTTGTCAATAAATATCGAAGTTACTAACTTGAAAATAATATTCACATTTTATGTTTCTTTGATTCCAAGTTTGGAAATTTTTCGAATAATGAGGAAAGAGTTGGCACACTTTTTCAGTAGAAAGAAAGTTGAAAGATGAACACGGATAAAAAGTTGCACACGTCAAAACACACTGCAACGAACTATTCCCAGGTACTTTAACTGTATTCTGTAAATCTTCCGAACAAACATAAAACTCATTGTTGAGTAAACCGTAATGCCAAGCTGAAAACTGATAGGAAACTAGCCCTGAAGTGAAAACCATTTGATCAACCAGCCAGGGTAAGGAAATCGTTATCAAGAAGTATTTCAATATTCCAATCATTTTTTAAGTTAGCAGCTGTTACTAGTTTTAAATATTTCAAATAAGATTTTCAAGTTGAATTTCATTCAAATATAATTTGACTTCAACAGAACCAAAAATAATCCTATTTAGGAAACAAGTGCACATTTGTTTTCATGAAAATTTTATTAACGGATCGATGCAACTACCTTCTTTCATTCAAAAAACAAAAACGTTTAATTACAGACAAAAAAATGCTTTTTGTTAGTTAGTCCGTAGTTCCATGAAGTTTTCAACTAGTGCACATTAAAATCTAAATCAGAAATTTTTTTCTAGTGCATAATAAAATTGAAGTTTAATTATCTACAAACAACTTTTTAAAAAAATTAAATCTTTCACCGTTAAATGTTTAGGAGATGACAGAGGTTGGGTAAATTAATCACAAATTATAACGGTAATTATGAAGAAAAAAAAACATATATGAAAACTACATGCAGTGCATTGTAACCGGATGACAATGAAGATGACAACGATTGCTATTTATTAAGTCAGGTACGTCATATCTGTCCCAGTGCCAAATGAACTCGCTGGAAGCATAAGTGCGTCTCAGACAACTTGCAGCCCGCACTTCTTCCAAGAAGTTGCAGAACATTACAATTCAGTTACTTTAAATATTTTGACCATACTCTTTTTAAAATACATGGTTTTTGAGAATATGGTTTTATTATCCGTGTCTTATGATGTATGTGCCTTTAGTATTTTTTTCATGTTAATAGTTTCAAATCATAACTTTCGTAAAAGCTCCTTGCTTGAAATCAAATTGTAAAAAATAAGTTTGACACTGAAGTTTCTAACATAAACACAAAATTATGAATTTTAGTACATTAAATAATATTATGTTTGCACGTCTGTGCGAATCATCTCTTTGCAAAAATTATAAAAACTGTTTCAGCTGATGTGACGTTGATTGATGCAAAGGTGGTAAGGTGATAAAAGACTGTTGCGGTTGCGATAATGTATTGGAACACCAAACTAGGTAAAGCAATGCGGGGAAGTGAAATGAAGAGATTGGACGGGCTGATTCGTCTCCAACGGGTACTCATCAGCAGCCCACATTACCTATCAAAATCAGTCCCCACGAGTTAATTCGTCACTTTTTGGTGTTTTTATTTATTTTTGAGGATCGATAGTTTTAATTGTTAGGATTTGCGATCCGACGACACAAACCGTAAACCGTAAAAAATTTCTTGCTACCATGACATGACGATCAACTGAAAGTAAAAAAGTTCATAATAAGTTATCATTCATTAATATTTCGTTATCACTTTGTTGAGATAGTGATTGTTGTCAGCATTTTAAATCATCGTTTCAAAGGAAACATGTTGTATATAATACTAAATTGAAAATTGTATCCCATTTAGGCATACTGAACTTCTCAAAAGCTCCACCCAAAAAAGTTTTTCAGGCTGGTTTGTTGGTAGCCATTCAAATGAAGGTTCATCTCACACGTAGTGTTGGTTCCATTGACTTAAAAGTTGACTGAATCGCATGAACCTGGAACGCATCCGAACAAACATCTCTTCACATCGACAGCTCTGATCACGCATGTGGTACAGTCACTTAGGCGGGTGTTTAGGTAACGTTTCCAAATTTTTGCTACAATGATAAAACAATCACTAATATTTTATTTTAACTTTCTAAAAATAAAAACAAACTTCTACAGATGGTTAAATGTCCAACTCCATTGGCAGGTTGCTGGGCAATAATGTAACGGTAGGAAGGGAGATTGGCATTACATTGGCATTCAACGTATGCTTGGAGCGGTTGACCGCCTTGTACTTATATTGAGCACAGATGGGGTAGGCACCTCTGATGATGCTTGACCAGGATTGGAAGTAGTTTACTGACGTGAGGCCGATTATGAAGTAATCCAGTCGTTCCGCTAAAAAAAACAAATGAATCAGTCAATCTATCACAAATTATTAAAGATTTATTCAAAACAAAAGCACTTCGAAAGCATCCTACGTGGTTAAAATAATTAAAAAACTGACCACAACAATCTTTTGAGTAGAGGTCAACACGATCAACGTGATGTGTGCTAAGGAGGTCAACAACTGCCCAATTTGGACCCCCGGCACCATCGTCGCACACGAAACAGTGCCCCAGGTAGTCATTAGGGTTAGCATCGCCGTCCACCATGTTGCTTGCAGCGAGGTATGCGTACCCGCCCCAAACTGAACTACTTGTTGCTGGCTTGCCGAGTGCCACGTTGTTGCCACACCAAACTTTCAATGCAGTTAATAATAATTTCATTATTAATAACGCTAGAATGAACATTTTTTAATATGCCCGGTTAAAGCCAAACGACCACTCTTCACAGAAAGACTCCAAACTATTCACATCTATAAAATAGTAATTCCAAGCTTTAGCGTTGATAAATTATATACATAACATATTTTTTATAGCTGTACAAAAACATATAATACACATTTCAAAATTTATGAACCGCTTTTAAGAAAATTGCTCAAAAAAGCACTTCAAAGTAAAACGCCTTGTATTAAGCGATTGATGCAGCACACCTAGTGCACGGTGTAGGAAGCTTGCAGATCAACAGCCATTGAAAGACGAACATGAAGAGAGCTGGGTGGTGCACACCAGGGCGCATTCTAAAGCACTGATCACAGGTGTTGTGACGTTTGTTGGAAATTCTTCTGAACAGACATCGAACTCCATGTTCCAAAATCCAAATTGCCATGTGGAAAGATGAAATGAAAAAGAACTCAATGTTAAAATATTATTAATCAGCCAATACAGTTGTAGCGCTCTCATATTCATCGATATTTAAATCTACGATTTTCAAATGATATATATCACAAGCTGTGAAGATAAGAGTTCCGTCATCTGTTTATTACATTTTGTAAAGTAACATTATTATTTTAAATACCACGTTAATGATAGTTTGAAAAATGTGAAGTGTTTCGCTTGTAGCGAAGTCTTAAAACATTTGAACATCACAAAATTTCATGTAAGAAACGCTAAAATGTTCGCGGTGGCAATTTTTTATTCAAATCAAACAAAATTCCTACTTAGGGAAATCGAAAATGTTTCAAAAAAAAATGGCAAAAAATGCATTAGACTGCCATTAGTTCCATCTAAGTTTCAAAATAAAATTTAACTTGTTGAACAAATTCTACATTTTTTTAAACGCAATAAAAAACTTTGGTAAATTTTAACGACCTCAGTATACATTTGGATCTCGGAAACATAATGTTTGACTTGAAGTTTGCTCTAGATCTACTTATGAAATTTCTTAAGTATTATGTTATTATTGTGAATAATTTCAATACATTATATCTATATCTGCAATGTTCTAATTCTTCTATCAAGGTTTACAACGTTGAAAAGAATGAATAAATAAAGAATGAATTTGTTTACAAAATCGATTCGTAATAAGTATTTTTATTTGAAAGCAAGAAAATCGATTTTTCAACTAATTTTAATAAATAAACAATTAAAATGTTTAATTAAAAATATATTTTAGTTAAAAATCAACTAATAGTTACCAGCAATAATTTTTATTGTTTATTTTCCCGGCAAATTGCTTTTCAAACTTTCACTCAGTAAATTTTAAAAAACTAAAAATTTTGTCAGTTTACGTTCATACAGAAGCTTCAATTAAAAAAATGAAATGAAACAAACTGCTTAAATAAATACATCAGCTACAACAGAATGAACTACACCACATGAAATTGACAAAACTAAATGGTGGTACTAAAAAACAAATTGTAAATCAAATTGTTTAAGTACGTACATTTAGTAACAATCAAAATGTACAGTGGCCGATATAGGGACGTTCCCAGCTTTTTATTTTAGCAAACGCCCAACTCCCGTCAAGACATTCGGTCCACTCCCTCAAAGTTGTAATCCAGCTGTCTGGATCCGCCGGTGAAAATGAAATATTCTAAAAATAGTAAACTATATCAAAGGTAAATTATATCAAGTGTAAAATTTGTAAGATGACAAATATATCTCCATATATCTGATTTGGGTTTGTATGTAACTTTTTTATTATCGGTGTTTAAAAACTGAAAAAATTCAGGTTATTGTTGTAAATTAATTATATTGTTGTTATTCTTGTGTTGTTTCCTTGGTAACATGCAGCAAACGGTGTTTTTCCAAATGAATGGCCATTGAAGGGCAAATGTTATAGACGCAGAGTTGCAAGATGCAAAATCTCATCAAATTTAGTTAGTGTATCGCATTATTAAATCAAATTTTCAATGTACAGTTTTAAAACCTTTCGTTCACGTAAAAGTGAAGCATTGGTACCAGGAAGACAAATTTAAACAAGTTGAAACTTGATTAAAAAGTGAAACTATGCAAATAAAACTGAAAAGGAGTTTTCTGCCGACAATGTCAACATTGAAATGAAGTGTTTGTCTTGTCAATCGATAGCCAAGATACAATCACGTTTCTTCTATTAATGATGAAAATGTATTTAATAAAATAGTGGTTAAACATCGCTAAGATTGTTCTAAAAAAATAATAAATTTACTTCAAAACCAAACGGTTGGTCATTAAAAAGTTGTTGATAACACAAAATTAATCCAGAGACCAAAAAAATTAAGGAGAATCATTTATCTTGCCATAAACCTCCAACTCACAAACCGTCAAAAAATGAGACGATTCTTTGGCTGACTGCACGATGACAAATTTGTGTCCATATGGATAAGCGTTGCATACTGTTATGTAAGAGGTGTTCAGTTTGGTTTCTTTGGGATACTGTCCGCAGAGGTCGTAGTCCCATCTCTTTATCCCATTTGATCCCAACGTGGTGTTCAGTCCAACTATGTACTCGTTCATTCTTTGAGCTAGAGAGCAAATTGAAACAAATTTTCACTGTTACCGTTGTTGAATTATCAATCGTTGTTAATAAGCTTTCGTCATTCATTTGACAATGCAATACTACATGAAAACTAGCTCTAAAATACTAGGTATATTGTTATTTTACTATGACATTGGGTGAATTGGATTACAGAAAATAATCTCACCACAGCAATCAGCCCGATTAAGCAGCATGACGTAATAAACACTGTAGACAGCTAACAGATCAACAGCCAACCAGTTTGGGGGACCTTTAGCACTATGGAAGCACCCAGCAGTGAAGAGGGATCCTGATCTGAAACCATCCACTGCTCTTTTGGAGTCGTGTGAAGGATGGTTGATCAATGTTGAACTTGAAAATGTGGGCTTGCGCAGTGCCAGATTGATAAGCTTTTCTGTATAGAAAAAATTTCGTCTAACTGGAAACAATTCGAAATTGCAAATTACCAAAGATTATTTGTAAGCATCCGTAATTTGAAATACTAAATAAATTTTACTGGTCTACGTTATTAAACAACGTAGCAATGTTTTGATTTGTTAGGAGGACACGCAGTACTCACTAGCTGATAAACTAATGCTTTAAAATCTCCATCAATTTTATCGTTTCAACTGAAACTCAAAATTTGAACTGCTTTTAAATTAAAAATTCAAACAACCCACTAACCTTCCAGTGCATTATTAGTCTTCTGCAGTGAAGTGTTGCAAAATTTAATGTAAACAAATTATTTATAAAAACTGAATACTGATATTCTATAAATTAAACTATAATTCTCACAAATAACATTAACTAACCTTATAATAGTATTCACATTTTCCATTTCTCTTGAACGTAGCAACAAAATTTTTAGACGGGTTAGTAAAAATTTGACAGGCATTTCTATCGGGAAGAAAATTGAAAGATGAACAAGGGAAGAGCTGAGTAGCACAAACCAGAGCACATTCCAACGACCTACTCCCTGGAACTGTAGCATTTTCCTTAAAATCTTCCGAACAGACATGAAACTCTTCATTCCACAATCCATAATGCCACGTGGAAAAGTTGAAAGATAAGGAATGGGGGGTTGTTAAATGTTTTAACGAGTATGTGAAAATTATAATTTTGAGGTTTTGTATCATTATTAAGTTGTCTGTAGTTTATATAGAAACTATTTTCGACACGCTAGAAAAATATTTCGTAAATTGTCATTCTACCCTTTAATGATTCTTTGTACAAAACAAAATGAGTGCATGCCGTCAGAGCAGCTGAATGAAGTCTTAAATGAATTCTATTTCAATTCATGAATTATATAATATATATATATATATATATATGCGTGTGTGTGTTTGTGTGTGTGTGTGTGCGTGTGTGTGTGTGTGTGTATGTGTGTGTGTGTGTGTATGTGTGTGTGTGTGTGTGTGTGTGTGTGTGTGTGTAAATAAAAGCTGTGCCTGTGTGCTTGTGTCTTCAGATTCAAAACACACCCCTTTTCGACACCTAATCTCCAGACGGGGCAAACTCATAAAAATTTTTAACATTACAATTCAAAATATCTTAATGACGTCATAAATGCGTCATATAACGTTATTTTTATAATTAATCGCATGTGTATAATTGAGATTAGTAGTTTGATTACATTTGCATAATGTTGTAGTGACTAGCACAATAATTTTGTTATTGCCATATCATAATATGGTCAGTCTGTGTGTGGTGTCTGTGTGTGTATGTGTGTGTGCATTTGTGTGTGTGGTGTGCATTTGTGTGTGTGTGTGTGTGCACTAATAACGGAAATTTCATTATCTTGTCACAATCACTAAGAAGTAATTAAGTAAGCCGTCTGTGACCAATTGTTGGACATGTCCAATTAATTTAATTGTCCTGAATGTGAATGCTTGTTTAATGAATGTTGCGTAATATGCCCATTGCGTAATATGTCCAGTCCAAGTTTGTTGATGCGAGTAGTGCTGAATGTTATATACTCCATATATAATGTTATATACCTCTCTGCAATACAAATACATATAGGTGAATTTACACATACCTACACATACATACACACACACACATACACACACACACACACGGAAATATATTTATATTATATATATAATTTTTTGTGCGTGTTGTGTGTTATATGTCTACGTGTGTGTGTGTGTGTGTGTGTTGTGTGTGTGTGTGTGTGCATGTAATTTAGAAAAAAATTGACATTAATATGATATCATCAACATTATTTTTATTACCATTAGAGGCGTAGCTTTAAATACAGTCTCACATCATATGTATGTTAATTCATTTAGAGAGATTTGAATATAAGCACTGCTGCGCCATATGATAATTTGGCCATTTATATCAAATTTTTCGTAAGACACACACACAATCAGACAAACACACGCACGCACACACACACAAATACACATACCATACACACATACATACTCGCACACACACATATGTAAGTATTCGTATAATGTAAGTGTGTAAATGAAAATCCGCTGTCTAGATGCAAACACCTATATATGATAGAAAATTATTTTCCAAAGGTCTTGAAGAAAAATAATTTAGAAATTATTACCCGAATCAGAATAAAATGTAAAAAATATGTTAAATTAATCATTTAAATAGATTTGCTTGGTCATGGTGGTGTTTGATGTTTTTAATCAGTTATTATACATTCAATAGCATGTGTGTATGTATGTAATAATGTGTTTGTGTGTGTGTGTGTATGTGTAGGTGTGTGTGTAGGTGTGTAGGTAGGTAGGTATGTATTTTTACTTCAAATATCACGCACATGCTAGTCATGCTTGAACTTGGTGGTGTGAGTGAGACCAACCACGTGATGTTTTTCGAGAAACTGAAAAAAATGCGATGAAACATTGGCGATGAAAATTAACAAATTCTAACGATGAATAATAACGATGGCGATTAAGATGATGATGAAAATAGTGGTGATGATGATGATGATAATGATGGTGATGATGATGATGATAATGATGGTGATTAAGACGATGAGGGTGATAAATGATGATAATAACGATGATGATGGCAGATGATGGTAACAATAAGTCAGTATAATCGTGATCGAGTTGGCATTCGATATCAAAAGACGATTATTACTTATTTTAATTATATAATTATTATTAATAACAACAAACACCATACACACTCACACACGTTCTCTCTCTCTCTCTTTCTTACGCACACACACACAGACACACACACAATCAACAATCACGCACATACACACGTACACATATAATTTATTATAAAATCATTCAAAAATTTTCACTGAATAAACATCGCAATTTAAAATATTTTCAAACAATGCCAAACACACACACACGCACACGCACACACGCGCACACTCATAACAAATGCGTTGCAAATGAATGCACCCATATATGACATCTATAACATCAAGAATAGGAACCACAATAACAGCAACAACAACAACAGTAACAACAATAACATACAAACTTAACAACAAGAACAATAAGTCATCAATTTATTGTAACGTTATCAGCAGCAAAACGGTCTCATAACAATATGAATAACAGAATAATTTAATAATAATAATAATAATCCACGAGAAACATCACGAGTTTGATAGCACGTGACAGTTATAACTATTATTAATAATAAAAGTAAATAATAAAAAAAAAAAATTATATAAGGAAATAAAAGAATATAAATAATAATTAAAGACGATAATTACGGAAGTTAAACTTTAATTCATTACATAAAAATAATTACGTAATTAACTAATTAATTACAATTTAGTGGTTGCTTTATTTAGTTTAGTAGTAACCATAGTAACCATAAACATGGGTGGCTTCGTTAATTTGGTGAACTTGAGTCCATTGCATGTGCTAATATGCAAATGAATGTAATTATTGATCTCTCTCTCTCTCTCTCTCTCTCTCTCTCTCTCTCTCTCTCTCCTCTCTATACAATGATACAATGTATTAATTATTCTTCTCCCCCACTGAAATAATTACTTATAATTTAAATTAGTAATATATATCAATGTTAATTTATTATTGATTGTAATTCAGAATTTCATTTCTTTCATTAAGAATACATATAGATAAATTTTTATGTCAAGTATTTTGTTTTTTCCAAAACCGAAAAGTCCTTATGAACATTCGCGCCCATTATATGTTTACTGGGTAAAAAAAGGCACCACAGACGTCACACGTACGTCATAATTAGTTCAATAAGACCCCAACAGTTCAGGTACCAGGTCAGGTGATAGGTGAGAGTTCAAAAGTTCAAAAAAGTAAGTAGAATATAATGAGGCAAAAGTTTCCAGGTCAACGTTCAGATCAAGTGCTTCATTTCAATTCCCATGAGTAATTCCTACGTGTATTTCATCATGCGTAGTATGAACAAATAAACATACGTACGTAACATAAACCGTTAAATACGCGTTCAACAAGGATGTATCTTCATGTTTGTACGTGTTTGTATATGTATATTTAGAACAATGTATAAGTATTTATAATCTACATTATAATGTGTTATATAAATAAATAAATAAATAAATAAATATATATATATATATATATATATTTTACAATATTCTATAAATTCTACCGAATGTTTGGCGTTAATAAGTTTGTAGTTCGTTTAAATATTGTAAAAATTATGGTCTATTACCAACATATATATATATATATATATATATATATATATTTAGATATATGATATATATATGATATAGACAGATAAACACATACACACACTCACGAATTTAATAAATATATATATATTACAAACATACATCTGATATGTATATTATGAATATTATGATGTAATTTAGACAGTAACTTGCTTACTTAGGCGCGTTCGGTTTTGGTTGTTATGGGAATAACTAATCTTTTTCACACTAAATAACAATTTCATCGAATTCAACTCAGGATATAATTGATTAAATTAATTGCATAATTCATATTGAAAATAACTTTTAAACCTGATTGAAGTAATTCAAATATCGAGATATTAATTATCAGCCAATAGGAAGGCTTGGATCGCCTGATGACATCATCAGTAGGCGGAGTCAACTAAGCTACGTGTAAACATAGAATCGAGCAGAGTCACCATTACTCTGAACTCCTGTTCAATCTATCCTTCATTTTTATTAAATAGATTCTCCTAAATGTCCGGATTCACTAATTTAGTCTAACTGTCGTCTTATAGTCCGAGATCACCTCTTACTAAAGATTCTATATATCAAAATGGCTGCACTTTGAAGGACGTTTGTAGGTGAGGTTGAATTGATTAGTTTCTTTTTAAAAATAGATTTTTTTTCTGTTTATTCATGAAGAAGAAAATGGCTTGAATTTGAGTTTCGTAGCACGAGGAAGTTGAGGATGATGAAATTTATTGATAATATTTCATTTAGTTTCAGAGCAGACGTCAATGTTGATATTGAATTTAATTGATGGATATTTTGATTAACATTAAAATTAGCAAATTAAGTACGAAAATAAGATTATTTTTATTTTATTTACTGTTACTACGACAGCCGTCAACAGGGTAATTAATTCCCTACTCTAACTACTAAACGAATTAGTCACCTACGTTTATATACGCAGTTATTATTGTGATGTTGTTTATAATTAATTAATAACTCAATACTCTGCTAAAAGTTACCTCATAATTTCATAAAAATAATAATTCGTTTTGTTTATTTATTCATTTTTCTGATAAAATTCATTCATTGACGATCTGACGTCATAATATTAATGATGATTAATTATCATTATATTTTTATATATATCTGTAATCGTCGTCCTCATCATCATCATCTTGGAATTAAATTTTCTTCTTAAGTTTATGTCATTCTTATTGTATACATTTTCCATAAATAATTTGCTTGTAATTCATTTTGCCTGTGCTACTGGTATTATTATTTGTTTATTTGTCTTACATAACAATTAGCATTGATTCTTATATAATCCATACAAACATATATAATGTGTATAATATATGATACATTTACATACTGTATGTATATAATACATGTAGATTAGATAAGGTATTTGTTCTCTCTTGTATGTAAGACTGTAAGTGTTAGATAAGAACAACATCAGGACAACATCTTTCACAATATGAATCCTGCTTATGTAGTGATGTGATTCAAGAGAGCATGTTGCGAAATTGAGTACATAGATGACATCACATTTGCGTAAGAAGAGCATGCATGTTTTTATTCATAAAAATGTTCACTGCACACATTTCTTAGTGGGTTATAATAAAAATAATTATAATTAGTTCTAATTATTATAATAAATTGAATCTGAAATATAAAAGGAAAAATTTTTTTTTCATTTTTACCTTAGGAGTTTAATGTATACCAACTCAAAACTTATCAACATACAACAAGATTTTAGTTTGAAAAAGGATGTGATTAAAGACATAACAACAACTCTGTCAGGCAGAGCTCTAACTCCAGAGGTTAAGAATGACAATTTTTCCCCATTCAACGGTAATGATAATAATCTCAGCCAGTCTTCTAGTCAGGTCTTCAGGGTTGGGAAGTATTTTATACAAAAAATAAAATCAAAGCGTGTCGATACACCTGATGTTTATATAGCTCTTGATATTGAAACACGGGAGGAGAAGAGAGTTAAGGTGAGTAAAAGTGAATTCCCTTTTTGATTTTCATTTTAAAAGCTAGTTTCTTGTTTTTTATTATATTTTCAAAAAAAATAATTTGTATGGATTTTTGTTATTCATTATTGCCATTTTTTTAAAGAATGAAAGTTAATTTTATTTACTTCTCTTTTCAATTTTGTTGTTTTATTTATTAAATAAGAGATGATGTTGTTAATGAATTAAATTGTGATTCTATTTAAAAAAAATTTAAGATAAATTTCATTGATTTTTACTTTTTATTTCCACATATTCATCTAAGTTCTAATTTGATAATTTTTCAGATTTTATGAAATTTTGTAGCTAATAGTAACCATTTGAAAATATTTATCAACAGATATATCCAATACAAGAATACCAAAGAAGTTTGTTACCTTACTTTGTATCTGGGTACCATCCACATATCGCAAAAATTGATGAAATCATTCTGACGAAAACGAAATGTTACGCATTCTTCGGGAAGACAGAAGAAGACCTTCATCTTTACATAAGGAGGAAGCAGAGACTGGATGAGAGTGAGGCCAGGAGGTACTTCAAGCAGATCGTTGAAAGTGTTAAGCACTGTCATGAAAACAATATCATTGTCAGGGAAATCAAACTGAGAAAATTTGTTTTTGCTAACAGTGATAGGTGAGTAATATATTGTTGAATCTTTATTGATTATGCACATTTTTTTGACATTTTGTTCATTCTGATTTCGTGTATGAATGTTGAATAATTTTTGCATTTTACTTTGCTAAAAAAAATTTTAATTTCTATACTAATTTTGAACTTTTCATTCTACAGAGAACACATCCTTCTAAGCAACTTGGAAGAAGGATTAGTTTTGGAAAACGAGAAAAGTGATCACCTGTACAACAAACATGGCTGCTTAGCTTACATCAGTCCGGAAATTCTTTACTCCTGTGATGGTTATTCAGGTAAAGCAGCAGATGTTTGGAGTCTTGGTGTGATTTTATACACAATGGTTGCAGGGCAGTATCCTTTCCATGATAATGAAATAGTTACTTTATTCAAGAAGATTCGAAGTGGCTTCTATAGGCTTCCTGCTTGTCTTTCTCTTGAAGTAAAATGCCTCTTGAAGAATCTTCTTCGATTGGAGCCTTCATCTAGAATGTCTGTCGATGAAATTTTGTCTCACCCATGGTTCACTCAAGATGAGGAGAAGTTGACAAGATTGCTTAATAATTCATCCGCAAATTCAGCGTTAGATGACCAAATTGTTCCTGTCTGTTCTCAGTCTCTTCTTGATTTAGAAGATTTATTTACAAATAATAATTTATCAGTAAAAACAGATTAAAATGTTTCAATTTTTTAAAATATTCATTCAATCAACACTGTGACCTGCATGCATGGCACATCATTTCAGTTCCTTTTTTAAATGTTTATGTTGACTGTGGTCACTAATTAAAATTTGATTCGCATTAATTTATAATTTAATAGCTTTTATTAGAAATTCTAACATTAGTTCTTTTCTTTTTATTTACTTTTTATTGTTTCTTGTTATATTTATTAGTTTGTTCAGAGATTGTAATATAAATGTTGAGCCGTTTGTAGCATTTTAATTAAATTTTCTCAATTCATATTGCTGATCAATTTTGTTCGGCTGTTAATCTTTCGTTTTTTACGAAATATTGAAGTCAAGCCGATGTTCAGTTCTCATTTCATAGCATAACAACAGGGAGCGACCAATTTGGTCTATTAATATTTAGTGTCTTTGACGGAAACGCGGCAGACGATAGTATTCAAAGAAGTGTTTAATTTTGGCCATTTAAATTTTTGGTGTTGATGCTCTTTCGTGGTGAGGCGTATATTCGTATTCGCGTTACCCTCATTTTTTTATTTAAAAGTTTTGTGAATCCCGGTGATGAACAACGATAAAGAAAAATATTTTGCAAAGGAAAGTTTGCTGAAAGCCAGAAAGAGACATTTTGATTCGAGATGGAGGGCGAATATCGCGAGTTGCTTCGAAACACTTCTGAACATCATACCGCTGAGCAAAAGAGCCAATAAGAAACAGTCAAAGGTGGTTTGTTTGTTGTTTCGCCCTATCGTTAATTTTCTCAAGTGTGTAGCCATCAATTTGTTCAGTAATTTTTTAGATTGGGCTGCTAGTTACAGTTACAGGACTAAATTTGTGATAGTTAATCAGATTAACTTAATAATCTTAATATCATTTTAATTAAATCTAATGAATAATTTAAAATCACTATTATAGTAAAAATTCAAGTCACCAGGATAATTTTCAAATAGTGTTGTAGGCTGAAACTGTGTAAAAGTAGTTGAAATATTATAAAATTAATAATGAAATCCTAATTTTTTTTAAAAACTTCATCATTAGGCAAACATTCTTAAGGCTGCTGAAGAACATCTTGGGTTTTTGGAAGCTCATTTGTCAACCCTCTTATTAAAAAAAGGTTTTGAAAGCTTTCCTATTTATTTCAACTCAATAAAAGAAAGTGCCTTCCACTCATATTAAATTTAACTATAAGGCACTGACTTGAAAAAGCAAGTTGTTTTTATTACCTCTAAAAATTCAGTAATAATTTAGTTAAAAGTATGGCAGCTATATTTTTTTGCCCATTACAATTTTGAAAAAATAATATTATAGTTGAAATCAGGTTGGCAATTTTTGTTGAATTTCAGCTTCAACGGTAAATTTTACTAATTTGCAAGTGTGTTTTTTATTATCAGAATTGGTAGATAAGCAAAAAAAATCATTCTGCAGTTTTCATAGAAAATGTTACAGAGTTATGTTGAATAATTTTGGTTTTCAAATGATATAGCAAATCATTTCATTAAATTACAGAGATTTTGCCATGCTAATGATTATTTAAATTAATCAATCATTTGAGTGACTTTATTTATTGATTGATGTTTTTTTTTACATCACCATATTTTAAACCTGTGTTGTTGACAGCTAAGAAAGAAAATGTTGATGATGTTGATAACTATTGTGCACTGAGCATGAATAAGATTAAAGAAGATTTTATCGAAGAACAACATGCAAAACCAAGAAGGTCAACGTATGTACTTTTTGATGATTATCTTTCCATGTTTCATTCATTCATTTATTTTTTCATAATTTATTATTATTTTTTATTGAAAAAAATGTTTTATATTAATTTTAATTCAGTTAACCCAAATTTATTTTCTAACAGAAGGTACAAGACAAGCAAATGCAAAAGAGTGTGTGGATTGTTTTCTTTTCTTTGTTACAACACATTTCACAAATTTAAAATTTTACATTATTATTTCAATTAATTAATTAATCTCCTGCTCATTTTACATAGGATTTCTTTTTTGTATCCTTGATTCATTCAAATTTTTAAAATAAATGAAACTTATTAAATAAACTTTTCATGCAAGACAATAAATCATACTTAGCATGTGACAGTCATGATTATTTTTTCATTCCAGCAAATAAAATTTTCCTGATATCATATCAGCATTACATCCATAAGATCATACTACAAATACCTTGGCATCTTAACCAACTTTACCAAATAGGTGCAAATTATTCCAGTCAGATTTTCGTTCTTGATTTTAATTTCATTAACATTTCAAGAAAAGGATAATCAAAAATGCCTCCAATGTATGTGTGATACAGCCTAGAGCTTGCACTAATAAGTACACAAATGACTTATATGAAGTAAATGACTAAAATTGTTATCATTATATTTAATTTATTCAATAATTTTTATTATTGATGTTCCCAATATTATCATAATTTATGGTTATGTAGTTAATACACCATCATTATTATAGCATGAGAACAGCCATGAGCAGCCAGCTGTTAATGTGATAAAGCCAACGTTACTATGTGATGAGTGTGTATCAGATGATGAAGGTTTTTATAACTCTAGCAGGTTTGGCTTGTTGAATTCTTAACAAATTCAGTGTTTACGTTAATGTAACTGACTGTGTTTATATTAATATTAGTTATTGTTAAAAATAATACAATTATATTGGTCATGTTTAGATATGGAATATATATATATATATATATATATATATATATATATATATACGCATATAAATGATTTTGTAATTTAGTGAATTTAAAATTTTGTTTTTGTGTTAAGATTGGCATTGTTTTGTTTATATTTTTTTTATTCTTGAAATTTGTCTGATACCATGCAAAAAGCATTAAATTTAGCTTTTCTTAAATTTTATAATTTATTTACTTGAATGTTTTTTTAAATGTGTTTTTTTTCGATTTGGCCAGTGTTGATGGAACACCTAGAGATTCATTGCATTGTTTGCAGAGATTTCAAAAGTAAAATTAAACTTTTTTATGTGATTTTTCCATCTTCTATGTTACTAATAATATTGCTAATATAAAGTTTACAAACTGCACCATAATGTTAGTCTGAAAAATATTTATCTTGGTTTTTCTAGACCCAATTCAATTTATGAAGCAGAAGAGTGTTGATGGGTGCTACGCTACATAGACATTATGAATTTTTAATTCCGTTAAATTATAAAGGTACAACATCAAGGAGGAGACCCAACTGGCCAAATCCTGCAGAAGATCATTGGACAGGTTAGCGCATGCAATTTATTTGTGCACTATGATTGTGAATAATTTCTATGTAGATTGCATTTAACTGTTGTCTATTAAATTCTATCAGAGAGTTTGAAATTTCAAAGACGAATGAACATGGTGGGTGTATCGTGAATGATATCATGTATTACGATCCTCAGATGCTTTTGAACATTTCACGTTCATACGTAGCTTCTGATATCAACGTTGAAGGTTTTTGTGTTATAATTAAAAAATTTAATGTTGAATAATCAAATTTGTAAAGATGAATCTGCAGTAATCCTTGTTTTATAGTTGAGAATTAATATCTCATGCCTTATTAATTCTGAAAATTTGCCAACAAATATTAAATTACAATATGCTTAAAAAATGTTTAAATTTCAAACTACAGATGAAGTAGAGGTAAACATTGAGAAGTATGATGAAACTGATAATATAGAAGTAGACGGTCATAATAGCCAGATGTCCTCCTCATCATTAGCACCATCACCAGCTGCTCGACTTTCCATCACATCCGATCCGTGGATGGCCCCAAGCTGCTTTGCAAGTCTCATTGCTCAAAACACGCTAAATGCTACTCATTATAATAATTATTGTGTTAGAAGACTCTGTGATATAAATTTTATTTTAATCATATAAATTCTGAAATACTGAATACAAAAATTATGTTTTAGTTTTCAGTCACCGTGGTATTTTGAATTGACATTGCACTGTTACATTCGTCTTATTTTAAGCCTTATTTGGAAGCAAGAACAGTATTGACCTCACTTATTCATTGTATTTTATTCAGGAAAGAATCAATTAATTAGCGGATGATTGTTGATTGCTTTTTGATTATATAATGACACAATGGTCAATCGCAAACTAACACCAATCGCAATTTTTTTTCAAGCACAGATTAATATGGTTGGTGATAACCACTGTTATATTTTAAAGTATTATTAAAAAATTGCGTGGCGACTGTTTATATTTTAAGATTTAAAAGTTCGTCAATTTTTAATCTACATAAATTTACTAATTCACCCATTAGGAAGAAGGAAGGGGTAATGATCAGGCGGCTAAAAGTGGCACAGACACGATTCTAAGCAACTTGTATGACTCTTCAGATGATTACATCGGCCGTCACAGTCCTTTATTTGGTGCTCTTATGCAGTTTTGAATTCGCTATTTTGAATTCACCTTTTACACTCACCTTTTGAATTCATTTTTTTTCGAATTCGTCTTTTGGCATTTAGCATCATCTTTTAAATTCATTATTTGGATTCATTTTTTGGATCAATTTTTTAACGACAGTAGCAACTTTTTATCATTCAATGATCTTCCCAAATGTATTAAATATTTCACGTCCTACTTGATCATCAATGTTTTTTCGTATTTATCTCGTTTTTCCTTTTTTTGGTTTAAAATTTTTTCCGTTTCCATTCAAGTTATTGTTTTGTTTTTGTTTTTCCTACTGTTTCTCGGTTTATCTTCAGTTCATTTCATTGTTTTCTGTTTATTTCACGTTAGATACGTTTTTGAGCATTGTGCAACTGCAGTTTTTAATGTTTTAATTCAATTTATAACTTTTTTTCCACATTTTCAATAAATTATTATAAAAAGTTCATATGGTTTTACTAGAATAATTTATTTAAAAAAATGATAGTGTTAAAATTCAGTCATAAAATTGCGAACTGTTCTGTAATAAGATGGAGTGACAAACTGTTTGACTTCCTCAGAGGTTAACCATTTGAAACCTGCAACATCCTTGGCCAAATTCAGTTCACCAGATTTATAATGCGCCTTGAAAAAGAAGACCTGTGATGAATAAACAAAATTTACAGGAAGATCAATACTAAAACTACAAATCTCAACACAAAATCATCTACCAGAACGTGCATAAGAATTGCACTGTTTGTGGTACTTAATGTAACACAAAAATACCTTAGCACCAATGAAGTTCTTGTAGGTGTTAGGTGGGTATTTGTACTTCATGAAGCCACACGGAGCATTTCCTAAGAAGTGCACATTCAGTTCAGACCCACAAAACTGTTGCAATATTCGTTCAGCTGTCTTTTTGCAAAACAAATCGAAGTTGAATTTATAAACTAATTTTAATGATCTTTTTAAAAAACAATAATAATTATTAAAATCTAAGAGCTTCAACAACAATGTTTATGTTTATAAGTTCTCTGCCAAATTATCAAATCAATTTAACTTGTCTCAAAGATTCATTATCCTTCCTCACTCCCATGGGCATAACCCAATGCTTTGATTTGCCCAAACTCTGGTTGGTTAGTAAATACAATTTCCTGTCAAGTTTCCTATCAATAGAGCTAGTGTTGCCACTTCTATCATCATCTGCAGTATTTTATTTCAATGCTGCTATGTTGAAAAATTCCATGGAAGCAAGTTTTAATGGCAGATAGTGAGGTTATGCTGTTACACATGACCATGAACATTTCGTACTTGTTATTCTGCTGGCAGGTTTGAACGCATTCACTTCATCTTCCCAAATATCTTCAAGTTCCACAGCAGTCTGCATGACAGCCTCAGCTTCTGTTTCTATATAATCTTCATCTTTTCTTTTTTCAACTAATGCTCTTTAATATTAATTATAATTTTTAAATATTTTATAACATAATAATTATTATTAACATAATAATAATTATTTTAAATAATGCTAACATTTTAATATTGTTAATTAAAACATAATTTATTAATAAAAATATATAATAGCAGACTTTTCCTCTATCTTCCTAATGTCAAAATCAGATAACAGACTTTTTTCTTTTTCAATCATCCTAAGCATGGCTGAAAAGTCCTTTTGTTTTATTAAAATTCATGAATTGAAAAAAATTAATTTCTATTTTTTAAACTATTTTAAATTTTTAAATAAACAATATTTAATTCAGTCATTGTTATTTGTTAGTTAGTCTCAGTTAATATAGTTATAGTAGAGAAGTAAAAGGTAGAATAAATAATCCAATCACTATTTTGAATTTAATTTGATTTGAAATTATTAATATTTAAATTATAAATTGAATAAAATTAAAAATACAAAAATTACAAGACTATAATCTAGAATATAGATTAGTATTAAAATTAAGCCATTATTTATTTTTTTATTTTATAGATATCATTGATTATCATTTATCATTATATTATAAAAAAAATTTGAACAACTTTTTCCAGATCGTTCATTTCGGCAGTGACAACAGGCGACCTAATGACGGCCACAGAACTCATCAGATGCCATTTCAATTGTGGTTCACCTTCAAAAGTTTTTGTAGCAGCGGCTGCAGCGTGCAACGTTTGTGACCGGATTGATGACTTTTTTACGTTTGCGACACCTAAATTTTAATTGGTATTAAAAAAAATTAATTTGAAAATTGATCAAATGCAGAACTAACTTTTTATTAAAAGTTTTGAGTAAGTCTGTACAAAAAAAAATTGTTTCGAGATCATTTCGTAAATTTTTTAATCTGAATTGAATTCACTTTTAAATGTTTAATCATTTTTACTTTTAAATTATTTGCCATCTAAAATGTAAAAAGCCAGCCAGATTGACCATTGAGTTAATGGAATTCTACAAATTCACTGGTATGCTTATATTTCCTAATCCAATAGTTAATTATACAAATTGTATAAATTCTATAGTAAACTATTGAATTTAGAAATTTAACAAAAATTCAGATTATATGACAGAAACTCCAAATTTGAAAACTGTTTAATATTGTGTGTGTATATGTGCTTGTATATGTGTGTGTGGGTGTGTGTGTGTGTGTGTGTGTTTTTATAATTCGTGTTTTTCATATGTTTTCTACGCTTTGTGTGTTTGTTTTTGAACGTGTTGATACGTCTGATGATAGTGCGCGAAAGAGAAGGACTTTTTAATCACTCTTGCACTAAATCTGCGTTTGCTTTTTCTGGTCCTTTTCTCTGGAACTCTCTACCTACTTCTCTGACTACTTCTCCATCACTTACGAAGTTCAGAGCGGTTCTCAAGACCCATCTGTTTGCAAATTCATTGAGGAGAGCTGTTTAACATCGCGGAAACAACGCTTTACAAAATAGTTAATTGAAATTGAAACTGTAATAGAATTTTAGTTTTTATAACTTTACGTTTTATTTATTGTTTATAATGCATCTCCATCAAACGCAGAGCTGCTTTCGTGCAATTCTATACTTATAATTATACCTTCCTTTAACAAAGGCTTTTGTACATATACAGTACAGTAAACTATCGAAACCACACGGGGCCCATGTACGTACATAATGTTTGAACGAGACAGGGCACTCCTAACGACTGAGTAGTTAACTCACTGTTGACTACATAACGATTTTATATGCTTAATTGAACAGATGTTCAGGTTCATACGTACTTATATATGGATGCCCGTATAGGCAGACATCCATATATAAGGAGTAACTAATTAGTATGTGCTTGTATCAATCAATCCTGTTACAAAATACATATCATGGAAAAATATTTTGCTAAATTTGCATCTCAAATTTTAATTATAATTTGTGTACCGTGTGTGAATCTATGTGTGTGTGTGTGTGTGTGTGTGTGTGTGTGTGTGTGTGTGTCGGTCATGTATTTGTGTGCGTTGTGCGTATAGGTGTGCGTGTTGGTGTTTACGTGCGTATGTGTTTGCATGCGTGCGTGCCTGTACGTGGTGAGTGTGTGTGTGTCTGTGTGTGTGTGTGTGCTTATAAATAAAAACTTCCGGCGATATTTAGCTCGATATTTTTATTTCTCTATAAGTGTTTATATACTACACCATAGATCTATGTATCTATACCTATATATTATTTATACATATTCATATGATATATAGCGGGCATTGATATTATAATAGGCACTCTTTTTCAGATGAGTGATAATTTATTTGATGCTGATGACTAAGAACTATACTGTGGTTGGTTGGTTGATCGGTTGGTTGATTGGTTGGTTGATTGGTTGATTGGTTGGTTGGTTGGTTGATTGGTTGATTGATTGGTTGGTTGGTTCGTTCGTTCGTTTGTTGGTTGGTTGGTTCGCTCGTTTGTTGGTTAGTTGGTTGGTTGGTTTTTGTTAGTGTGATTATAATGATGATGATTTTTTGTGGTGGTGGTGATGATGATGATGGTGATGATGATGATAATAATTTATGAAAGCTATAATACTACAATGATGATCAGAATGAAGTATACTTAATTATCATATATATATATATATATATATATATATATAATATATATATATATATTATAGATTATATATATATATATAACGTTATATATATCCAACGTTAATATCTATTATCTATGTTGTACATCTATTTGTTTTTATTGTATGTTCAAATGTGTGTGTGTGTATGTTTGTAAGTGTTTGTTTGTACGACGTGTTTGTTTGTTTGAAGCTTATACACACACCACACCACACACACTCATACACATACACACACACACACACACACTCAACCACATACACACACTCGTACACACACATACATACTCAAACAAACAAACCTATACAGACTCACACAAACACACGCATTTATATACGTATATATAATGTTTTATAGACGTATATACCAAATTTTCTCGAATTGTATTGTTCGTTGTTGTTGATGTTATAGTAGAGCTGTTATTGTTGTTACTGTTGTTGTTATTATTATTATTATTATTGTTATTATTGTTGCCACTACTGCTATTATTAACCATCCTATCTTATATCTTCAAGTTATATCGAAGTTGAAATATTTTATTTGCTTATTGCTGTGATAATAATAAAAAAAATAATAATAATGAGAACCCTTTTATTCAAAGCCAGGGTAATGAATAATAATTAAAACTATGAAATGGTAAAATAATGAATTGTCAATAATAATAATAAATAATAAAAATAACAACAACAACAATAAAAATAACAACAACAACAATAATAATAATAAT